TATATATATATATATCTATATATATATATATATATATGTTCCTTTCTCTAAGGGGTTGTTTACCAAAAAAAAAATTTATTCCTATATGGATAAATTTGTCTGTCTGGATAAATGAGTGTTGTTGTTTCCTTTTTTTTATCTGAATCAACAGTCTGAATAACATAAATGACCGATTTGCCCCCCAATAATAATTTATTTGAACATAAAAAAATCATAAAAAGGCTGAAGATGGGTGTCTCATATGGGAAGGAGGCGGTGCTGTAAATAAAGAGTAGGGGTGTCATTTTTGTGGCTGAATGAGGACAACACATCATTTCTATTTTTGCGAATAAGTCATGTTCTGTGCGAATAAGCCGTAAGTAAATAACTCAAATGAACTGTACAAATAAGTCAGATAGACCAATAAATCTAATTAAATCACAAGTAAAGAGCCCCTGAGGTAACATTTTTTTGAATTGAAGATTTTCAAATTGATATTTTTTGTCATGGAAACGACATCTTTGACTAATGAGTGCTACCAAGTTGTTGAAGAGAATAAAGACAAAATGGATTATTGATAACTATTGATAGATTTTTAAGCCCACGTTTGGGCCCACCCTTTGTAACCATTATTAGGAATATATTCAATATCGGATCATGAATTGAACAACATAATATATTTATTAAATAATATATAAAATATCTAAATATTAAAATTAAAAATATATTATTTAATAAAAACTAGTAGATGCTATAATAAAATAAATTTGAAAGTACAATGTTGTAATAAGAAAGTCACATCAATATAGTATATGTAGACAACCTACGTGAACAATGAGGTGGCATGGAAACCTGGCATAATGAGTAAATTTAAATTAAAAGGTTACTCAATGCTATGATGGGTAAATTTTTCAAAGTACCATGTCCTAATAAAAAATAGTTTGAAAGTACAATGCTATAATAAAAAAAATTATAAAAGTAGATTGCTATTTTGTGCGTTTTGTCCAATTTTTATTAACAAAATAGATTAAGAATCTTACCCGAAAGGTATAAAACTTAATATATCCGGAAAGCATGTGTGCAAACAAATATCTCCATAAACACACACATATATAGAGGTAAGAGCAAACGAGAATGTATTTTTTTTATTAAGCTGGATATCCAACCCGCTATGCGAGCCGACTAATCTCATGGCGACCACCTGCTTTGCAGATAACCCGGAATCACCGCATTTGAACCTCTGTGGCCATAAGTGAATTTATATTTCTCCTTAGATTTGAACCTAGGAGCTCCTGGTACTTTTGACCAACGAGAATGTATTTAGTATGTGCAAGAAATGTCAGGAAATTTCAAGATCACATATGATTACAGATTAAATCACACGTGATACAACAAGTCCAGAAGGACGTGGGAGACTTGGCCAAAGCAGCCAAGGGTCGGAAAGGTCGTGCGGCAGGTCAATACTACATGTTTGTATTCCATGTGATTATGTGTTTGTATCACATGTGATCTTGAAACTTCTTATCTCTTTAAATTAACCGTCTTCTAGTTTGATTTTGCCTCTCTCTATATATATGTACCCTAGGAAAAATCAAATACAAATCACGTAAATGTTATACACCGTATTAATCAATATTACCCTTGATTTTGTATATTTTGAAATTTTTAAACAACAACCAAATCAGTTGCAGATAAGGTTTTGAGAGTAAATTTCGAAACCAATTTAATCTACATCGTTTTACTTTGTTTTGATAATCAGTACAGACGGTTAAGATTGATTTGTATGGTGTGTAATATTTTAGCGTTTTGTATTTAATTTGGCTTATCTATAGCATATTATAAAACATTTGGGTAAAATTCTTAAAAACTATTTTAATACATTAAGTACTTTCTAATTATGCTTATTACTTAAAATTCAAGCGCATGAATACAACTTTTTGAATCTATATGTTGAATTCATATAATTAACTCATAAACATAAT